GCTCTTGAGGTCCCAGGAATTCCCAGGATGGACATATGTTTCCTGGAAATTCTCGACAAAGACCCTCTTGAGATCCGCCTAGTCATAGATGCTATCGGGCGGAAGGAATTTGAGCCATGCTCGAACATGCTCCCCCACGCAGATGGGGAGGTACTGGATGATGAAGTGGTCATCATCCACTCCTCCGGCTCAGCAGGCGAGCCGGAAGTCTTCGAGCCATATACCGGGGTTCGTTTCCCTAGTGTATCTAGCGATGTTGGTGGGTGGTCAGAAGCGCTGTGGGAACGACGCTCTCTGGATATGACGACCAAAGGCCCGTGGCCCCAGGCCATCCGGGCTAGGGCTTCGGTCATTTGGTCGACCACCACGCTTCGGATGCGTCTCCCCGCACTCCTTGATGGTGAGGCTAGGGCCCACGCCACCTGCTCTCCCCGCCACTCGATAGACATCATCATCGCACCAAGCGTGGCGTTGCTTGTTGATGACGCTATGAGTGTCACGGTTCGGCCCGAGGCATTCATGCACAGGTGGTCGGTGTGGAGCGGGCGCGACTTCCTGCCCCACGCCCTGCAACTGTAGTGACGAGTGGATGGAGTGATTCTATTGGTGCGGCCCTAGTCCCCTAGTGGGGCTAGGAGGCCATGAGCTGGTGTCATGACATGGATCTCTCCGCCTGTTGAACGGCGGCGGTCTCCACCAGCGCCCGAAGGTTATGGTGGATTGCCTGTACCTGGGGTCGGTAGGCTTGGGGAGGCCATGCAAAAGCATCACCGCGGCAGCAATGTTTTGGCCAGCTCGAGCAAACTAAGGGGGATCGTTCCCTCCATCTTGGATGTTACGCTGGACCTGACGGGCGTGGTCCCGAGAACCGCTCACCGGGTGACACGCATGTGGCGCGGCGTGCTGCGCCGAGCGTGCCAGCGCAGGTGGCGGTTGACTTTGTCGCCTTTGTCGTAACTCCTCGTTGTGCTCCTGCGCACACGCGAGGGCCATCGCATGGGGTCCAAAGGGTTGTGAGTCCATAGAGACTCTGCTACCACCGGTGGCTATCCTAGGGCGTCCACCATAGCGCACTCCTAGGACAGAGGGTGGCCAAGTGCCACAAATTCACCGATGTTGGAGCAGTCGCTTTCGACCTCGTCATCGATGAGGTCGTGAACGGAGGCGGAGCATAGCCCGCCATCCCCATGAACTCGGATGTGAGAGGGGGCAGCATCAGCATCCTTTGGATCCCCCACGCGTACGCGTCCCTAGGGACGCGAAGCCGTAGTGGAACCGGCCGCACGGCGGTCATGGTGGGGATAACGGGGTCCCTCCGGAGAGTCAGCAAAAGGTATTAAATAGTGAATAAAGAACAAAAATGTACATTACTCACCGTGGGGTTTGAGCCCAGCATGGGCTCGAGGCAAAGCGTGAGTGTCTCGACGTTGGGGTCATCGAGAGGCACAGGGCCGGTGGAGAGCGCTCCTCCTCCAGTGGACGTCGGGACAAGCGCCGAGCCGGTCGGTGACGAAGCCCAAACTCCCGAAGAGGAAAGTCTGGAGCGGCTCGAAGACGGGAGGAACCCACAACCCAACAGGTGGGAGCATAGGAAACTCCAGCAAGCCAAAGCGAATCATATCACTCGAGCCCATCATGACGAAAATGGTGAAAAGGTGGGCCATCCGATGACCAGAAACGTGAACGCACGGCGTCCTCCCCACGGACGGCGCAAGTGTCGGCGCGAAAAGTGACCAACAAGTAAATATTTGTAGTTTTGTCGTGCGTTGTGATCAGATGTGGCCTAGCACTCAATGACACAGGATTTATACTGGTTCAGGCAACGTGCCCTACGTCCAGTTTTAGTCGGTCGGTGATTTTATCCCTAAGCCCAGGTGCTCGAAGTTTGCTATGGGGTTACAAACGAGTAGGAATGAGAAGAGGGTGTTAAAGGCCCGGTCGGACTCTAAACCGAATGGCAGAGAGTGCCCGTCTGGCATGGCCTGGTGGCACCGTCCTGCAAGTGCGCAGGGCATGGTAGGGTATGGTCCTCGATATTGCGGTTGACATGAGTGCCTTACGTTATCTGCTCTGCCTGATCCCCGGGCCCTCACTGAGCAGGCGTCCCCGGTCGATCGTTCCTAGTCGGCCCCGACCGTGTCGGTCAGGGAAGAGTCGCGAGCAGAGGTCTGGCATATCCCCGGTCGAAAAAGGAGGTCGGAGTCGGACTGTGTCCCCACTTTGGCCAGGCCTTCCGGTCGGGGACCGGATCGTTGTCCTGGCCTGTCATTATGTATCTGGGCCGGCCCGGGAGGCGCGCGTTGTCGCTACGCCGTCTGCTGGGCCGAGTTTTTATAGGGAAGCAGGTCCATTGGGGACCCCAGGTTTATGAACCCGACAGGCGCATTGTGTTTGCTTCAAGCAGTTCATGAAAAGGCTAGATCATTATTCTTCTTAATTCCATGATATTGTACACAAGTGAAATTAACTATTTATTGGGATATTTATGGATGACTTTTTTCCCAAAAATTGATTGATTATTAAAAAAATCAAGACTCAAACTTCCAAGATTTGACACTACAATGATTGCTTAATTAGAAGAGAAAAAAAGAGAGTCAATTTACATATTTACTTTTGCTAACTTGTTTCGTTATTTTTATATTGTACTTGTGGACTGATTTATTTTGGTCTCCTGTACTTTAGAAGGAAGCATGCTAGTATATATGCATGGAAGGGTCGTAGGCAATTTTTAATCTCGGATGAGCACGTTTTTAGAGATTGCTATTTGATATAAGGTGTTCTAATAAATATATAATGTGTTATAGGTAGTATTTGTACAAAGGTTTTGGGGGTACAGCTGTACCCCATGCACCAACACTACATCGCCCTGCCTACGACTTGATAGTACGCTAACATTATCATCAAAGGCTTGCCGACGTCAGCCTTCACGAAGCCTGAACGTTCGCCGTGCTCATGGTCCGACTGCGGTGGAGCGTTAGATTAGTAGATGTGCCTTGCACGCTGGTGCGGCCCATGGGCTTGCCTATCCGGCTCCCCATTTGGCTACATGTACTAAACATAGTCATTGATCAATCAACCACGTGTTCTCCCCATTCATTCCAAATGCGCTTACAGCTTAGGTTTGGGTTGGTCTTTGTGTTGAGTTGTACGAGAAATTTGTGTGTTTTTTTAGCTCGGTTTCCACTCAAAAACTGGGGCATCACTTAGTTTTATTTTCTCGTTCTAATATATATAAATTGCAGCAAATCTTTTGCCGTTCTTTAAAAACATACATAAATACATCACTTTTGCCATCCTATATCAATACAACGCGCTGAATTCAGTGTTTGTAAATCTGTCAGATAATTTGTACTGACAATGCATGCCATGTGTGCCAACATGAAATCAATCATCAGTAACCATTTGTTTTATTCATTCACTGCCACAATCCCGAATTAGCTTGAGTACCCAAAACCACCAAGGAAATGCTTGAGTACCCAAAACCACCAAGAAAATGATCATTGGCCACAAATCGTCAAGCAAACTCGGTCAATGATAGGAGACAAGGGAAATTAGTTTTCTTAAAGGTTTTGGCACTCAGGGATTTGAACCTGTGACCTATTGCTTCACATGAAAAACACTTACCACTACACCTCAAAGGAACTTGTGACTAAGTGATTTTTTTTTTCTTTTGTGTATTCACTTTGTTGAATCTTGTATGAATATTTGAGATCCTAAACGATTTCAAATATAAAAAGTTTGACTAAAACATTTTAGATCTCGTAGAATACATATTATAACTCTAGTTTAGGTCATATCTCCATCCAAGGTCATTTGAAAATTTAAAATTTTGAATTTTAAAGGTATGAGAATTTACTTGAGGGTTTCAAATTACACGCAAGAAAATATGAACAACTTGGCGGTTTCTAATAGCACTCAAGGAAATACAAATTACCTTGGCGACTTCGAATAATATACCCAAGAGAATGAGCAATTACGTGGCAGGTTGTAATAACACTCAAGGAAACATGGAGCTACCTTGGCGGTTGGTTTAGCACTCAAGAATATCCATTTCCTTGGAGGTCTATGTCCGCAGCCATGGAAACTACACTTTCCTTGGCGGTTTTGTTTTGGACCTCAAGGAAATCTTAGAACTCAAGGTAATTCAGGGTTGCGGTAGTGACTGCTCGATCTGCCTTGTAGTTAGAAGATCTGGTGTAGTATGTAACTCATCATATCTTAGCCCCGTTTGGCACGGCTTTGATCTCTACCGGCTTCAGGAGCCATTTGGAGCAGTTTTCTACCAAACGGGGATAAAATGAAATGGCTTCACTAGTGAAGCCTCTTAAAACATATTCTCATATGGGTTTGGGTGGGATGGAGCCAAAAAAAAAAGGTCACTTCACCCGGCTTCACCTTGCCTAGGTGGGCCCCAACATGGATGAAATCCTGGTTTGCCCCTAGTCGACGCGTACAGGTGCAGGGTACCTGGCCATCAAGATGCGTAAGGCGGGCGTGGTCACCGAGGCATGCCGGCTCGGACACGACCATCGGGGCACATCAGTGCAGGAACGGGCGCCGGGGCGCGCAGGCCTGGCCATGGCCGTTAGGGCACGCGGGGGCGAGCACGGCCGCCGCAGCGCACAGGCCGACTGCGGCTGTCGGGGCACGCCAGCGCAGGCGTGCGCGCAGGCCGCCATGGCACACCCCGAACAGAGGTAGAAGAAGCGGACTATGCACAGAGTGGCTGAACAAAGGAAAAAGAAAATAGGAGGGGTACGGTGAAAAAATAAAAAAAAGATAAGGGTATCATAGTCTTTCAATCTTCTTTCTCTCCTATAAGGAGCTGTTTTGAGAAACAAGGTACCAAAACGGCTCCAACTCCATCTAAAGAGCTGTTCTTGGAGCCAAACAAAAAAAAAAGGGTTCACTGATGAAGTGAAGTTGCGCCAAATCGGGCCTTATTGTATCGGTAATATACTTACGTGGCCACTGCATGCATGCTGATATATATTGATCATCTAGTTGAAGGGACTCTGGTTGCCGCAGTCCAAGTTGTCGCCGTAGCTGACCCCAAGCAAGTCGCAGTAGCGTTTGTAGAACCCGATCCGGCTGGCGACGCGGCTATCACCGGCGCCGTGGCCGCACTCGAGGCCGCCGTTGATGATGTTGGTGACGACGCCATAACCCGGCAGCCTGCCGGCGGCGGTGTCAGCTCCGAAGGGCGTCCACTTCCCCGTCATGATGGCGTGGCACGACGGCTTGGGCGACTGCGGCGTCATCCAGAACCAGACGGCGGTCTTGAAGGAGAGGACGGGGTCGGTGGCGACCAGGTCCGGGTTGGCGAGGATCCGGGCGCCGATGGCATGGCCGGCTTGTCCGTAGTTGTAGTTGTAGGAGATCTGGATGGGTCCGCGGCCGTAGTACTTCTTCCCGGCGGCGCACGGCCACTGCGTGCTGGGCTCGCAGAAGTCCGCCGCCCCTGCCGCGGCGCCCTGCTCTTCCTTGAAGCAGTAGCCCCAGGCGTAGGGGCCGTCGGGCGCCGTCGCCCACCCGCCCGTCGTCTCGTGCGACGTCTGCGCCAGGAACGCCGCAAGCTCGCGTTTTCGGGTGTCGACGCTGCCTGTGGTGCCGAAGCCCGGGAACGCTTTCGCCGCCGCGAGGAAGTCCGCGTAGGTGTAGAAGCTGTTGGCAGGGCACGCCGCGTCGTTGCGGTGGAGGAGCATCTGGTTGAACAGGGACTCGGAGATGATGGACGCCACGCCACCGCGGCCGCCGCTCGGGGGGTTAGGGGTTGGACGGGGACGCGGAGTGGGAGTGGGAGTGGGAGCGGGAGCGGGAGTGGGAAGGGGAGGGGACGGCGGGGTGCCGCCGCAGCTGCCGCTGCACTGGCCCTGGCAGCCGTCGCCGCAGTAGTCGGAGGTGGAGCCGCACCAGCCCCACTGGCTGCAGCAGAGGCAGCTGGGGCAGAGCGCGCCGCCGGCCTGCGAACCGCACTGCTCGGCGCGCGCGGACATGGCGAAGAAGGCAGCAGTGGCCACCATGGCCACCACCGCCAGTGCTCTCGTCATCATGAGAAGCTAGCAATGTAGCGCTCACTCGATCGATCTGTATCTGTTGGTGTGTGAAGGAAGCGGTGGGCAAGCATGTCTTTATATCAATGTTTTAAATAGCGAGTTAAGGTGTTTAGCGGTATACCTCTAAAACAGCTAATAGCGAAGCTAAATCGAATTATAGTGGCTAAATTGTACATAAATACAAATAGCGACACCGTGCCTTAAAAGGATATAGCGGGCTATAGCGACACCTATAGCGGGAGATTTAAAACATTGCTTTATATAGGTATCATGGCGCATATGGTGGATGGATCCCTATCGGCAAGCTTCATCTGTCACATACAGAATCCACTCTTGGAACCAACATACGTATAGGACAAGGTTGCCCACCTCTAACGCTACGGGCCACATTAAGGACAAACTTAATTGATTTATTCACAAAATAGAACAATTAGTATGTTTGGTTTGGGGATTCACTTAGCTGTCATGCATGGGGTGGTCCGGCATGCACTCGTCCGACGTTTTTTCAGGAGTGAGTGTGTTCCTCTGCTACTGGCCTATCCAAGCGCTACGAGGAATGTATTGAGAACAGATGGATGCGCAAACCAAACGGATTGATCAGCTTCTCGGATGTTGGTTCAGATGATTTCGGCTGGTGTCATTCTACAAACCAAACAGGCTGTAAGCAAATGAATCAATTCATGTCCCTCAAGAACAGGCCAAATTAATTGTTTAGGGGTATCCGATATCTCTTTGTCAAGCATGAATATTAGAGCTTTCAGCCAGATAAAAACTCCTTTTTCAAAAGACAGATCATTGGTTCTTAATTCATTTTCTCTAGGTGAAGCATCATGCATGACAAGGCTCTCCAACGATCCTTTTCCACCAAGCATAGCATCTGTAGTAAACTCATATAGAACCAAAAGAAAAAAAAAACTAACACTCATCTAGAAGCTGGATTCACGAACATTCAAATGGCATACAACAAAGTAGGGGCAGTTGGAGCACGGGCAGGTAAGTCTGTAATTTTTCGTGGTAAAATTCATTCAGCTACAGCTAACGGATCTGGCTCCTGGCAGAAGAGTGTTTCTTTTTTTTTTTGAGGGAACAAAAGAGTGCTTCTCATCGGTACAGTGAGCTAAGTCAGATAAGTTGACTCAGTTGTAGGGCTCAGGACAAGGCTACAAAGATTTTTATTAGTTAAGCAGAAATCAGTGAGTCTACCTCGTAAGCATTGATGTCTGAGAAGAGAGTCTGCAAGTGCAAGGATCTCTGTTGGCTAGCTTCATCTGTCGGAATCCACTCTTGGAACCCACGAGCAGTACTGGCATGTTCGGCAGGACAGAAAAATACTGTTTCCGGCTGATTGTTGTGAGAGAAAAATACTGTTCTGGCAGGGCGTGAACAGTGCCCCGCTGAGTGGCCTGGCCAGCCGAATAAGCCAGCCGAAATAGCTCGTAGTCGTAAGTATAGGACGGGAGGATCATATATATTATTAGTATATTCATCATCGATCTTAACATTATGATGGGCAGGGAGAGAGACGTACGTGTGTGGTACAATTAATCATGCGGCATCACTGATGTAAATAACCATAGTACGGCGTAAAGATCATTGTGCTTGATAAAATGACTATTCAAAAGCAATTTACACTGATGTTACACACAAGTTACACTCAAATATGAAAAGTAAAACATGATATAATAAGGTGTAAATTAGATTAGGTTAATTAGAGTCATAACTCATAAGGCGTATAATCAATGTGGTTGAATTAATAAAATGTTAATTTCACTAGATTATGTGAGGCTCAGTACATTAAAATCTTTGGAAGGTTGAGAAGACTCCATACACACAAACAGTGGCGAATTAAGCTTCCTTAGGGCCAACCTGCAGAAGTCCCAAGAGAAATAAATAAAGTATACTATAATGAACTATGTAAAGTGCTAACTGTTGTTCTGCGACATCACTCGATAGGGTCTCGTTTTGTTGTGGTAATATAATAATCTTTAAACCGACATTTTTAACTTGGTTGTGAAAATGCAGGACCTTGACGGGCTGCCAAACAACCTACCAATGGTGGAGATGGCTTTAGGTCACACTGGTTAGGAATGCGGCACCAGGCCGGGGATCGACGACCTCTCCACCCTCGTGTGCTGGCAGGTACGGTTTGGGAACAGAGGAACACGTGTACAAGCGATGTTACAACGAGGTTGGGTAATAATGAATCATGGCGGGAGTGATCGGCTTAGGTTGTTTAGCACCAGAGTAATACACTACGCCAGAACACATAATCACTGCCGCTTGTACGTCCTAGAGCCAACAGTGATTACTTATCATTGTAGGGTCATAAGCCTAGGATCCAAAAAATTCTGGCGAAGCTATTCACCCGCAGTAATGGTATCTATCACTGCCGGCTCAAACCACACCATCTGACAGTAATATCGGTGATATAGATATCACTGTCGGCTCATATCAAGACCCATCAATGATATATCATTGCCGGGTCAAGCCACCAACCGGCAGTGACATTTTCATATATCACTGCCGACTTTTGTATTGACCCCGCAATATTTTTTCCAACCATTGGATCCACCTAACTATCAATTCATTTATTCTCCACCATTGATCCCATGCACCACTGTCCACTGTTGCTTCTAGTTATAAAACTGGCGTCTGCCTCGCTGTCCCCAGCCTCGAACCCAGGAGCCACGCCATCCCCATCCACGACCCGCCCCCCATCCGCCTAGCGCCACCCTTGTCCCTGGCCGAGCATGATACCCCCGTCCCTAAACCGCGCGTTGTTGTCAGCCACAGGAGAGTTGCCTTCAGTGAGCCATCCAACCTACATTCTCTATTGGTGCTTTACAATAAATTGTAATACATTACAGTGAAGTTGGTCTTTTGAGATATGTGGATATGATATGCCTTTGTATTGTCCTCATCTGTATGCATGTACATCACATGACTAGAATTGTCTTGATTTTGTCAATATACAACATGTCCTGATTTGCATTGTCCAGATGTGTGTTCATGATCAATCATGCAGGGTCCTCCACTTCCTCCTCAGTCACTTGGATTTATCCCTAGAGCTATGTCATTCGTGCCAGCTTCATAGTCGGCACAATTCCCATTTTCGACCATAGTAAGTAATCTATTATCTTACACTCATTTAACATATATTCTTTTTCACCCTAACAAACTTTTGTAATTTACCGTAGTTGATTGAGCCGATTAGATGGCTCCAATATACACTCTGGTTCCTCGGAGTTATTGAAGCATGAGACAACCATCGCCCATGGTGGAGAGGGATTTTGTTGTGCTATCCATTTCAACATTTCTAAAAGATGGCCTAGGCCAGAAAATGTCTTAGAAATTGCTGTGGCAGGTAGGAGGCCACTGAATCAAAGAACTGTTGAGAAAAAAATGTTGTGAGACAATGTATGAATGAGTCTACCTGCAATGGATACATAATTCCTGACTTCTCATCCATTCGGTGTCAAGCTTTACAGAGGGTAATCCAGATGTGCCAGCAGTTAGTGAGCTGATTACTCAGTGCAATCAAGTAGATGTGGTATAGTTAAAGTGGTGCTCACATGTGTATATATATCATTTTCCATTCAACATTACTCACATTCTATTCGTTGAGACCACTTGCAGGTTCTGTTTCATGATTTGACGTACATTGCATGTAGCTTCCAGGCCATTCCAAAAGTTGTGGAGCAACTCGAGTACCAATGGTAGTATGCAGGTTCAAGACCCACGACACAAAGAGTGGGCTGCTCCAGTTGTACCAAGCGACTGATGTTGGCCCACGCAGACAAGGGAGGACGGAGAGGTGGGTTGTGCCCACGACCCGAAAGGAAGAGGGGAGAGAGGTTTGAGCCCAAAGGAGTTTTCAAATTCAATAAAAGATTTTCTATTTCCTTGAATTTCTTAGATTTAGAGATGGGCCGGGTTTGGTTTTAAATCAAGGAGGGTTTTATGGATGGAGTACCATCATATGTTCGGCACTCATAAGCAACGACAATTAAAACATCACACATGTGGGGTTGGTCCTATACGTGGATCCTGTTGGCGGTACAAAATAAAACCTATGCACGTCATGTTTATTTAAGCTATAGCAAAATTTAAAAAGATCAAACTTTTAGAGATTTTTCAACACATGGCAAAATTTCAGGATGTTATACCGTCGCCTAGCGCCAGCGGTCTGCAGGTTTCGTGCGCCACCGTCCAGCACCAGTGGTCTGTGGGCCTCGCATGCCACCGCCTAGCCAGCTGCGTCCCGGCGGCTTGCATAGTAGCAGCGGCCACCAATCTGCTCGCTAATGGCCGCTACCGAGTCGCTTGCCACTGGTCGCACACAGACCCCAGCTAGAGTGTGCCTCATTTGAGTGGAGAGAGGATTAGGAGAAGAGAAAGAAGTGCATGGGAGGAGGATGAATGATTGGACATAATTTTATTTGGACTCACTCATAGAAATGTTGTGTTGGACAGAATGATTTTTTCTAGATACAGTGTCTCATAGAAACTACTATATAGTTTCTGCACAGGTCCTAATTAGCATAGTAGCAGCAACACATATAAATAATGCTAGATGATGCTTGCTGGCACTAAATTCTCTCTCTCTTTGTGTGTGTGTGTGTGTGAGGTTGCTTATGAGGCCAAACTCAATGATGGTTTCATATCCCAATATTTTATATATCTATATGTTGGAAACAACACAAATCAGTTTCATCATCATAAAACTCCTTTCAACCCATGAAACTTGCATTATCTCTCTCATCTATACTCACTACTAGAAAACAAAAATTCAGGGTGGGTCCAAAACTTCACTATAAATTTCAGCACAGGTCCTAATCATTTTCATAGTAGCAGCAACACACCAAGGTAAATAATGCTAGATGATGCTTGCTGGCACTAAATTCTCTCTTTGTGTGTGTGTGTGTGTGTGTGTGTCAGGTTGCTTAATGAGGCCAAACTCAATGATGGTTTCATATCCCAATTTATGAATTTTTCAAATGACTTCGGTTGGAGAAATGACATAAACCAAAGATGTAGTGCTCGAAGAGATCTAAAACTTTCCAATTCAAACTTTTTCACCTGAATTCGTTTAGAGTCTCAAATATGCATTATAAAATTCACTAGAATGAATACAGAAGTAATGCATCGGTCAGTTAGTCACAATTGACTTTGGGTGCAGCAGTAAGGAAGCAACACAAGGCAAGGTTTCTTTTGAGATTTTAGAACTCTTTCTTGACACATTTTCTCGGGGTTTCAGGCCCTCAAGAAAATATAGATATACTTGGCGGTTCCCTTTTTTTTTTGATGCTTTGTAATTTTTGTCATGGCCCAATTTGCCATGAAATCCCACTGACATTGGCTTGATTGACCATGACTTGCTTGTCGCCGCTTTTTCTCTGTGGGATTGCGCTGCACGTCACACTTACACATGCTGCGTGCATGCATGCATATCCGATCCAAATAAAAATATCTTGTTAAGGTTGGCATTGCGGTGACATATACACATACAAGTGCCTGTCAATTCCAACTAGAGTAGCAGCTAGCTAGCATGTATATATAGAGCTTAATTTTATTTTTTAGCCTGTTCGCTGGTTTGTTTCTGGATTGATAAGCCCGACTGACGTGCTGGTTTGTTATGAGAAAAACACTGTATTATGACTAATAAGCCCTGGGGCCTAACTGAAACTAACAAGCGAATAGGCAGTTTATCTGTCTCCTCCTCTCCTCTCTCTTGGATTTTTCATGAGTATATCAGGCTAGCTAGCAAGTATCTGTCTAATCCTATTAGCCGCAGCAATATATATAACGCACTGACTTCAGTAAGCATGCATGTGCCAACACGAAATCAATCATGAATCATCAATCAGAAAGTTCGTTCAAAAAAAAAACTATCATCAATCAGTAACCATTTGCTTTATTCATTGCTCGATCTGCCTTGTAGCAGATCTGTGTGTAGTATGTAACTCATCAGATCTTATTGTGTTGGTAATTCATGGTATATAGTATGTAATAATAACTCATAAGACTGCATGCGTGCTCTGTTTTTTGTTCATCGATCTAGCTGTTGAAGGGCCTCTGGTTGGCGCAGTCCAAGTTGTCTCCGTAGCTGACCCCAAGCAAGTCGCAGTAGCGCTTGTAGAACCCAATCCTGTCCGCGACGCGGCTATCGGCGCCATGGCCGCACTCCAGGCCACCATTAATGATGTTAGTGACGACGCCATACCCCGGCAACCTCCCGGCGGCGGTATCAGCTCCGGAGGGCGTCCACTGCCCCGTCATGACGGCGTGGCACGACGGCTTGGGCGACTGCGGCGTCATCCAGAACCACACCGCGGTCTCGAACGAGACCGTCGGGTTCGACGCCACCAGGTCCGGGTTGGCGAGGATGCCGGCGCCGATGGCCTGCCCGGCGGGGCCGTAGTTGTAGTTGTAGGAGATCTGGATGGGTCCCCGGCCGTAGTACTTCTTGCCGGCGGCGCACGGCCACTGCGTGCTGGGCTGGCAGTAGTCCGGCCCCGCCGCGGCGCCCTGCTCCTCCTTGAAGCAGTAGCCCCAGGCGTAGGCGCCGTCGGGCGCCGTCGCCCACCCGCCCGTCGTCTCGTGCGAGGTTTGGGCGAGGAACGCCGCCAGCTCGCGCTTCTGCGCGACGGCGCCGCCCGTGGTGCCGAAGCCCGGGAACGCGTTGGCCGCCGCGATGAAGGCGGCGTAGGTGTAGAAGCCTTTGGCCGGGCACGCGGCGTCGTTGCGGTGGAGGAGCATCTGGTTGAACAGGGACTCGGAGATGATGGACGCCACGCTGCCGCCGCCGGAGCTCGGGGTGGGAGTGGGAGTGCTTGGGGTCGGGGTCGGGGTGCTGCCGCAGCTGCCGGTGCACTGGCTCTGGCATCCGCTGCCGCAGTAGTCGGAGGTGGTGCCGCACCACCCGAACTTGCTGCAGCAGAGGCAGTTGGGGCAGAGCGCGCCGCCGGCCTGCGTGCCGCACTGCTCGGCGCGGGCGGACGCGGCGAGCAAGGAAGCAGTGGCTACCATGGCCACCACCGCTAGTGCTCTCATCATCGTGAGAGAAGCAATCAAGGCAAGCGCTCTGTGTGTTGTGGATCTGCTAGCTGGTGTTGTTTGGGTGGTGTGTGAAGCAAGCGGTGTCCTTATATCGGCGTGTGATATGGTGGCGCGCGCAAGGGCAGCTGCTTGCTGACACGTGCAGTAGAGGACGTGGATCGCTATTGTAGATATAGTCAACTCTTGGAACAGTAGTCTTACGTACTGGGTTATCTGTTATTATTCATCATATATATATATATATATATATATATATATATATATATATATATATATATATATATATATATATATATATATATATATATGTGTGTGTGTGTGGACGAGAATGGAGACGTGACTCGCACTACCACAGGATTAGTAGGGGCGGCTGGTGAGGTTTCGTAGAGATGGCTCAATCAGTCGTTTCTATCATACCGTCTCTACAAATCATATATTTGTAGGAGTGATTTTCAGACCGCTCTTACAAATTGATTCGTAGAGATGGCTGGTGTTATCAGCTGCCCCTACAAATCGATTTGTAGGGGCTCTATAGAATCGATTTATAGGGGCGGTTGTAGTACCAGCCGCCCCTATAATACCTGTTTGTAGGGGCGGTTCAGTCTAGAATCGTCCCTACAGTATATTTTTCGCAAAAAAAATCAAATTTAAAATTCAAATTCGATCAGAATATATATATATATATATATATAATTCAAATCTGATCAGAACATATATAATTTAAATCTGACCACAAGCACAAGAATATTATATAAACTACCATTACAAGTCCAATTCACAATAATATACAATCCATCATTAAATAGACATAATTTACAAGTCTAATTCGTTCCACAAGTTGATCTAATATGAAGTTGCAAAGATCGTCGACGAGCTCTAAGAGTTGGCCATCATTGTATGGGTCTTTTTTTTATTTCTTTCTCTTTTTTCCACTACAAGAGAACAAGTTTTGGTTTAGTATTTCATATCCGGTGGTAGATTTGACAATGCATCAAAGACAGACGCCCAGAAAATTAGCAAAGAAGCCGTCTTGATCGTCCAATATCTGAAATTAAAAAAAGAATTATTTCTATAAAGGCATAACTTTCTAATTGTTTATTTCATTAATGACATAATCTTTTAGTGGACTTGGTCAGCTATTTTATGAAAGATTTGGGTAGTGGATCCGAACTATAAGATAGGGTCAAAAGAATAATTATTTTCTGCTGAAATAAGCTTATAAGCATGTAGAGAAGGCCTAAAGCTGATCTCTGAGCAATCAACATATAAGTATACTTGTTTTGTGTTGGTAATTCATGTAGTAGAGGCAGCAGAATAATAACACATTAGCAGAGACCTACACAAAAACATTCATATCAATAGTTAAAGGCGTGCCAAGAAGATAAGTTCGAATCGAAGTAAATCAACTTTCAGAACAATATGTACTTGAGACACATGGAAGAAATACTAGCACGGACTTTAATTCAGCCCGTCATATTTCTTTCTATTCATCTGTTGAACACACTTCATGTTTTGAAAAAAAAACTTGTGTACAGGTAAAATTGCGTCCCAAGATGCAAGTTATACAGTAATTGTATATTGTTGTTTCTTCTTTTTGGTGCATATGAATGAACGAATGAACAAACATATATATACTGCCATTAAATTTACGGTATAGTATTCACACAATCAAATTTCATTAAAATGCTCGGCCGTGGTAGTTCTACGCCTTGTAGATCTGCATTAATCAAGCCTCCTGTAATTCTTCATTTATCAAATAGTCATGGCATCTACAATAGTATCTAACAGTCTAAAGGCCAAGAAAATCTGCAATAGCTTATTTTAGTCATCTCAAAATATTGTTGGAAAAGTCAAACACATGTAAACCATGCAAATTGGAAACACTTTTGCAACTTACTCAGCAACAGATGGACATCAAACTAATCCCCAATTCAGGGAGCCATCTGCAATTTCTGATGCATCACCTATTCAACTTATTTCAGGTGACCAGAACTAGACAGCTAGTAATAGAAAATTATCTACTAGAAAACTATACAACAACAGTTCAGTTCTAATTTAACTTGACAACAAATTGCTTGTACCTTGTGCACTTGATTATGCCTGCTGCTACAAGACTCCACGCTGTAACAAGCCTCCACATGCTTGATTATACCATCAGAACAAAGCTGTGCTGATAAACAAAGGTTAAAATCAGCATATGGTAAATATTCAAGATACAAGAAGAATAGAAAACAAGTGATTGATCTCGTATTTAATTTATTGACATGCACAGTTAAACTACAAATAACTGTGTACCTGTCAAACATTTTACTACTAAGGTATCCAATTGCATCTCTTAGTATATGTCAAAGATTGACACAAGAAAAAGGAGACTAGATGAAGAAGCATGCAGCAGTAACAATCATGAAGTCAGTTGCCCATGGAACATTACGCAAAGAAAAAAAAAACAGCATGACTAAGGTCCATCTTAAGATATGGAGCAAAGGCAAATATCAAAGTTAGTTGCTTTAGCTACACAACTGCTATGAAGCTAAATTTCTTGCAACCTACACCAGCTACCTAGTCATGAAAACAAAAAGGAAGAGGTGCATTCCATCTAGATCGAGAGCATAAAGTGTCATAGAAATTTCTAATTTCTCACTATATCCCTAAATCAGTTCTGGAAATCGACTAAATTTGGTCCAGATCTCAACAAACAACAAAAATACCACATAAATCCTAGAGTACAGCATCACGTGTTCACATGCAAAAAGGGCGAACTTGGCCTCCTCGTACGAAAAAATCTCGCACCAGCCTAGCCAACAAAATACCACATAAATCCTAGACAGAGCATCACGGAGACTCTGCTAGTAGGGCTGGTCAAATTTGGCCTCTGCGTCTAAGAATCCTCGCACCGGCCGCCCCTGCTTCTTTCTGAAGTACGTGCCCAATCTGCCAGCTTTGACGACCTCGGCCTGGACATCTCGTTGGCGATATGCGTGCATGGATCTAGGGCTCGATGGGCGCGGGTGGGGCTCCTCCTCCTTCCCCTCCTCCGGCCGCTCCGGTATAGGTTTGCGAGAGGCAAGGGCATTGGTGCGGCGGGTTTTACCGGATCCGGCGGCGGGAAAGTGGCAACAAGTCGTCGAGACCGACCGGCGGTGTCGCGTCTGGGGCATGCAATCGAGCATCAATGACTGAATCTGGAGGATGGGCTTGGGGTCGTCGTGCGTATACGTCCGCCACCATGGAATTCCAAAAAGGAGCGGGCGCCTTGGCGGCTGCGCCATGCAGTAGTACGTCGTATGAAGTGCCAGCTAGCCACATAGCAACATGCTTCATCTTCCACTTGGCCAAAATGACGCACGCATAGGGGTGGTGGTACGACCGGTGGAAGAGAGAGAGAGGCGAAAAACTCGGGGTTTAGGGTTTGGACCACATTTTATATAAGCTTTGGAGAAATCCTAGCCCTTCAATCCGATCCGATGGCTCACATTGCTCCTGCATTAACCATCAGCGGGGAGCTGGGCTGGGCCTCTACATACCAGCCGCCCCTACAAATCGACTCATTTGTAGGGGCGGCTGAGCCCGAACACGTCACTGTAGGGGCTACTTCAATGGCAGCCGTCCATAAAAAAAAATCATGTTGTTACAAACTGTTTTTTACGTAGTGTCAAATCCTCGCCGTGCATGCATGTGTTTAGTAGTACTGTTCCATAGACGATAGACCTCGAACACCGCAACCGCAAACAATAAACTACTCCAGGATTACAGCTTAATCACGAGCTATAGTTACGTGTTCACATGCAGGAAGCAGGAACGTGGAAAGATCGTACGTAGTACCAATTTTCGTAGCAGCCTAGCCTAGCCTAGCTATACGTACGTATAACGTACTGGCTCTGGCAGGCAGCCAAGTGAGACTCTAGTTGGAGCTGGTCAAATTTGACTTCGTCTACAGTGTGCTCCACCGGCTTGCCTGCTGCCAAGTGAAGTACCGTACGTGCCACGGCTGCCAGCTTCGACGACGTCGGCTCTGGACATCTCACATGTATATGCATGCATGCATGGATCTTAGCTTAGCGATCAAACTTCGCGGTTGGGGCATGCAATCGAGCATCAATGACTGAATCTGAATGGATGGAACCATCGGCGTGCGTATACGTCCTTGTCACGCATGGAATTCCACACTTCGTCTGGTTTGGCGATTTCCGATTTCCACGGTGCGGTAGTACGTCGTACGTACGTGCCAGCTAGGGCACAGCAACATGCTTCATCTTCCACTTCTTGGCCAAAATGACGCATGTATAGCACGTCATATATATTTACCTAACTTTACCAATATTTCGGTATATATTGGTAAATAAATATATACTAGCAAATATGCTCGTGCGTTGCAACGAAAAAAAAACTATCAAGCATTCATGCAAAACGATGACGTGAATGGTACATATCTACTTATGTTTTATCCTTTTATAATTTATTTTATGATGACCGTGACATCTATAATATAAGTTAATGTTAACAATAAATAACAATGTCTTACCAAATCTGGATCAAATTGAAATACACCTTGGCATATTATTTCTTTCATTGCAAAGCACATAATTATTTAGCTATAAATATATCATAACTTTACCTTCGTAGCTTACACTAGTAGAGAAACGATCTTTGATCCATTTCGAAATTTTGCTTTAGTCCTGGTATTTTTCGCGCCCGGGACTAGAGAAACCTTTAGTCCCGGTTGGTAGCTCCAACCGGGACTAAAGGTCCCTGCCCAACGGCTACTGCGGCAGGCTTTTGCTGCAGGGGACCTTTAGTCCCGGTTGGAGCTACCAACCAGGACTAAAGGTTAAATTTTACTCCCGATTGGTCCCTTCAACCGGGAGTAAAAGTCTACTCCTGGCTGAAGGCTCCGTCCAGAACTATAAAGGGACCTTTAGTCCCGGTTGCTGTCTCCAACCGGGACTAAAGGTCCCCTCCTATATACCCCTTCTTCCTCCCCGAGCCCGAACCACTTC